AAAATGTACAATAATACATTAAGGAAGTCAAGAAATTCATACTTCGCCAAAATAATCAGTATTAACAAAAATAATCCCAAGGTCCTCTTTTCCACCATAGATCATTTATTTAACCCTGATTTTAACAGCTCCCAAAGAACCCCCACAGACTCGCTCTGTGAGCAGTTTGCAGACCACTTCAGGGGAAAGATCAGCGCCATCAGATCTGATATTTTATCTAATCGCGATATGATTTTAAACACATCTGAGGGCTCGATTGTACCTGAGGAGACACTGGACAGCTTTGTCCTGGTTAATGCTGAGAACCTTCAGAAGGTTTTCTCCACAGTGAGACCCACCACATGTCTTTTAGATCCAATCCCTTCTTCACTCTTTAAAACACTTTATGGATTTTTTGAGGCTGAGCTTTTATACATGATGAATTGCTCTCTTCAGTTGGGTATCTTCCCTGCTGCCTTTAAAACGGCGGTGGTGAGGCCCCTTCTGAAGAAGAGCAATTTGGATTGTAATGATTTTAATAACTACAGACCTGTATCCAACTTACCATTTTTAAGTAAAATCTTAGAAAAACTTGTTTTTACTCAGATTACTGATTTTCTCAATGATAGACAGATCCTGGAGATATTCCAGTCTGGATTTAGGGTGAACCACAGCACAGAGACGGCTCTCCTAAAGGTTTAAATGATCTTAGATGTAACTGGGACTCCCAAAAGCTCTCAGTCCTGGTGCTACTGGATCTAAGCGCAGCCTTTGATACAATAGACCACGCTATTCTTTTAAACAGACTGAAACACATGGTGGGCCTCTCTGGTGCTGTACATAACTGGTTCACTTCCTATCTCTCTGACAGATCTTTTATGGTGAGTATGGATACATGCTCCTCTAAGATCCATAAAATGACATGTGGTGTGCCTCAAGGGTCGGTTCTAGGCCCTGTACTTTTTAATTTGTATATGCTCCCTCACGCACATGCAACAAGCACAGCCACAAAACTGACACACCTCCTAGATCATTGGAGGCGTTGCTTTGGTCTACAGTGCTCATATGCGCATATATATCCTCTATCGTTAACATTTAGGAAAGACTTCAGGAGTCCATAGTTACAAACATCTTGTACTTGCTAAGATTTTTTTTAAGAGTATGGCGCAAAATCTGCAGCTTGATTATGATGGGCGGTAATTATCTTTTACCTATTTGTTTAATTTATCGTTTATCTTTCTTTCAGACACATTATGGACTTTTATTTTTAAACTTTGTGTCACTGAGCCGTAGTGGAAATGTATTATTTGACTTTTTAACATAGCCTTTGTTATCTGTTGCTGCAAAATCATAACAATTAAATATTTAAAGCATCAGTCTGAGTAGAAATGCATTATTTTATTTCTGTAATGAGCCTTTGTTGTATTCATGTTGACACCTGAAACCTGTAAAACCAGCTGTGTTGTGTTTAATTTACTGCAGAAGTAGATCAAGTTATACAAACTGAACTGTATTAATAGAGGGAGTGACTGCTTGCAAAGCAGTGATCTCACAAGGTGTCTTAAACCAAAATTGGTTTAAAGGCTGTCTTTATATTTCTGCTCATAGGATCTACTATGTCTGTGGTTTTTCTACTTCTTTGTAACAGGACAGACTTCCTGGTCGATACAGACTACTTCATGGCTGTAGCTGTTCTCTCAGCTCAAAGAAGCAAAGACCCAAACACTCAGGTATGTGTCTCTCTGCATAAGCACTAAAGCACTAAGAATGATTGTTAGATACTTCACAATAAGCTTGTATCCAACATCAGTTCTCAGAGGTGTGTACTGTGAAAGAAGTTCAACATAGCTTTCTTTGTGTGAGCTGGATCAGCAAAACCTAAAACCCCAGTTAGAGATGGTGGATATCACAACTGTTGTTGTCAACTTTCTTTGTTAAGCCGGTCATTTGGCTTCAGGCTGTGTCTGCTCACAAATTAGGAGGCATTTCACACATCATTTCTCTGCTTCTGCCCAAAATGATTCCTGTGAGTGCCACCTACTGCAGTCAGAGGCGTTGTTAGATGATGGTAAAGTGGTGATAAAAATCTATACAATAAGTTAAAAAATGTAAAAATGTTACACTGTTAAGAAAAGAGAAAAGAGATGACGCTGCAGAAAATCTTTCAGCTTGGTATTTACACCAGCACAAAAATCACCTCATCAAACAAAACCACACCTCTCCTCTCAGCTGACTCAGAAACCACTCCCGGCTACCACATGACAGTCTCACATGACTTGACTCACTAAACTTTGAAGAGGTGATCCATGGTTTTATTACATCCCAGCTGGACTATTGTAACTCCTTATATGTAGGAGTTAGTCGGAACTGTCTTGCAAGACTGCAGTTTGTCCAAAATGCTGCAGCTCGTCTTCTAAACTAAAAGGCGTGAACATACTTCCCCGGTGCTTGCCTCTCTTCACTGACTCCCTGTTCAGTTCAGAAAAGTTTTTTTTTATTTTCACGTTGTCTTACAAAGCCCTGAATGGACAGGCTCCCGGGTATTTGTTTGACCTTTGCAGCCTTATGTGCCCTCTAAATCTCTTAGACCAAATGATCTTTTGCTTTTAGTCATACCAAGGTCGAGGCTGGTTCAAGCTTATCGAGCATTTGGCGTCGTAGCGCCTAAACTGTGGAATAATCTACCCCTACACATCAGACAGGCTACTACTGTCAATCTTTTTAAATCTCATCTAAAAGCACATTTGTATTCACTGGCATTTAATACAGGATGAGAGTTATTTGGTATTTGGCGTTTGATACTAATATTATAAGTTATTTGGTACTAGTTCTTTTGTTTGTCTGTGCAGCACTTTGGTCGGCGTTGGTTTTATAATTTAATGTATTATATAAATAAATGAATGACCATGATCCTTGTGGATTATGTTAAACACATTTGTAACCTTTTGAGGTAAATTTCTCTCCCACATCTCTCTCTGTTTGCAGGTGGGAGCATGTTTAGTGAACCAGGACAATAAGATAGTTGGCACTGGTCACAATTGTATGCCCAATGACTGTGAAGGCAAACTGCCATGGAATCGTGAAGGTGCTAAACTTGACACAAAATACATCTATGGTGAGTATGCACTTCCACACACTTGTTTTTTTCTCCTGTGTTTTTCAGTTTGACTGAATTATTTCAAGTTTTAAATAATTTTGTTTAAGCAAAGCACTCCTGCTTTTATTCATCTAAATTCAAATTCAAATTCAAATTTTATTTGTCACGTACACAGTCATACACAGTACGATATGCAGTGAAATGCTTAGACAACTGCTCGTGACCTAAAAAAAAAAAGGAAAAGGCTATGAATAAGATAGGAAATAAATATGAAAAATTAAAAAGGGTAAATTTAACTAGGAAGGAATAAAATATAAATTAAGGTTAAAATATAAATTAATAAATTATAAATTAAATATAAACCACAGTATTAATGTGTTAGAGGATGTCTGGATATTCAAATTCAAATTCAAATTTTATTTGTCACGTACACAGTCATACACAGTACGATATGTAGTGAAATGCTTGGACAACTGCTCGTGACCTAAAGAGAACAAAAAAGGAAAAGGCTATGAATAAGATAGGAAATAAATATGAAAAATTAAAAAGGGTAAATTTAACTAGGAAGGAATAAAATATAAATTAAGGTTAAAAATGAAATAACTGTACAACACAAATTAGAATGAAGGGTAAATTTAACTGGGAAGAATAAGATAAAGATAAATATATATTATATATATTATATTATATATATATATATATTCCTCTTGAAGAGGTTTTTGTCATTTTATGCTGTGCTGTCTTTATGTGTGAAGAATCAAATTCAGTGATTTGTAGCAAAATCATGTAAAATAACTAAAATAAATAAATAAATAAATAAAAATAACTGCACTAAAGCAAAGTAGGTGGGCCCAGAATTCAGCTGGTGTCAACTTTGAGGAAAAACTTTGATGCAACAGCCAACAGGAGCAAAAGGATTGTGTTCTCAGAAATATTATGGAGCAGAAAAGGTGCACAACGATCCTCAATGTACTAATGACTTTATATATACAGGAGGCTGCAGAGCTCATCACATTTACTTTTTGACTTCAGAAAAATAACAAGAAAATTTGGACAACTTTACTGTCAGCCCAGCAATAAAACAATTGTTGTCATTTTGGTTTTAAACCAGACCAAAAGTGCAAACTTTAGGAGCATGCGGGGGCAAAAAGATCAAAGACACTTCAGTTTGAATCTAAAACAGGTGCAAAAAAGAAAACAGGTTGGGCTAATACATTATTACTCAGTGATCAGAGTGCAAAAATCTGATTAAATTTTTGTTTGCTTGTCAAACACATTTAAGAATAGTTTTCTACTTATAGATTCTCTTAACAGTCGCTGTACTGTTTTGTGTTTTTTTTTTAAAGAAATGACTTGTTTTACAAGACTAATTTGTAAAACATGGCCAACTCCTATCAGTATACACTCTGAATTGGGTTAATTATCACTTTACATATCAATTATTATTATTAGTAGTAGTAGTAGTAGTAGTAGTAGTAGTAGTAGTAGTAGTAGTATTAAGAGACTGAATTCTAAGGAAGACCATTCAGGTGGTAAAATACATCTTAAGTAAAATGCTGATGGCCAATCACAGATTGTGAAGTGTAAAGAGTGTCATTTCCCAGAATTTTTTGATGATACTGTGTATATTCATCCAGTGAACGTTCTCTACTGCAGTGTTTCCAGTGAACTAAACAGCGATGACGTGATGATTTTGTTTTCCTTGGATAAGAACAATGCATTAAAACGCTGAATTCCACTGAGTTTTGTCCAGTCTCTTTTCAAATCTTACATATGCATATAAATAAAACCTGATGTGCTTTGCTGTCCACAAAGTTTTATACTTTTTATTGTTTTTAACACCTGCCTTCAAGCTCATTATACTTAAAATATGAATTTCATGCACTCACTGAGGATTGTCTCAATGTCATGTCCCACAGTGTGCCATGCTGAGCTGAATGCCATAGTGAACGCAAGCGCGAATGCTGATGTGAAAGGCTGCACCATGTATGTGACTTTGTTCCCCTGCAATGAGTGTACCAAACTCATCATCCAGGCAGGTGGGTGCTGACAACACACATAGTCAGTTGCAATTAATTATACAGTTATACACGTGTCAAAGTCTCACATAATGCTATTCATGTCCAGGTGAACTACGAAAATATAATTTTGTCATTTGATCTACTTTTTGGAGATCGAGGAAGTCCTCAGCTTCAACTAAGAATTATGTTACCTTTATTAATAATATTAAACTGGCAGCAGGCAGATTCTTTGGGTTTCCCCCTTAAATTGTCATTTAGATTGTGTCACAACAAATCTCACCCTGAATATGTTTTTCTGTGTGCCATGGGGGACAAAGAGTTTACTTGATTGTGATACAAAAAAGGAAGACAATCGTGTTTTTGTTTTCCCCAGAGGTGTGGCTGCCATGTGGCTAAACTTATAGTTAAATAGTTTTAGATCATGAATATAGTTTGAACTGTATTAACACATGTTTTTATTTTGATGGTAATGCTGTGTTTGTTGGCTCAGGATACTCAAACAAAAAATTTTTGCACTGAGGTGCAGGGGAGGCATTCCTCCTCTGTCCCCTTCTGGCCACCTGTGCCTCAATTTTATTTCACAACCTAGACATCCACATTACTTACACTCTCATAACACACATAACAACAACAACAACAACACATAAGTTATCCTGTGTTGTTTAGTGCACGGAACAGCCTGCAGGGTGCAGCCACGCTGAACCGAAGTGCTTGTGTTTTTGTATTTGCAGAGCAAATCAACAAGTAATGAGAACCTATTCTAAATTCATGCACGCCTGGAAGTGTTGTTTTGTCCAAGTGTGCAACTGGGAATGTTTATGCGTTGCTGACAGCACAAATGTCCCAAATGTCTTCTCAGTTTGCAGTTTTGAACAGAACTGGTGCATACTGTTTTTTTTTTCCTCCAGAAAGATATCCTTATCCTTTTAAGAGTCACACAGATCCCCGTATTCCTGCTAAGTAGTCTTGACCCTTCAAGTTTCAATGCAGCTTTCTGGATTCCTTTATAATTCTTTCTTCACTCTCTCCAGGTCTGAAGGAAGTGGTTTATCTTTGTGACAAGTACCATAAGACACCTGAAACCAAAGCATCCAAAAAGATGCTTGACATGGCGGGGATACTGCACAGGTGAGTACATTTCTGGGACACAATAAAAGAACATATTTCTTGCACCAGTGTACTGTAGAGACTTTCTGGTTGATTGAATTAAAGGTAAGATCTGTAAAATTAAAATAAAATTTGTTTCCTCTTCTGTAGTTTCCTGTGTAAAGATGAAGGAAAGGAGTGAACTGTAACTGTTCTTTCAAAGTAATATTAAGACAAAATGTAAGCATGGCAGAGATGGTGTGTAATGACAGTGGTCAGACTTACAGGACAAAAGCAAGAACAAACTTCTCTTTTTTATTTCTTCAGTGGAAAGCAGTTCCTCTGAAAAATATGGACATTGTGTTCTGTAGGTGTGGGTTGTCCAAAGTAACAATTTCTTTCTTGTTTCTAGGAAATGTATTACAAAGTAAACTCTAATCACACTGCATTGATTGTTTTGGAGATGGATAGTACAGTACAATAAGGGACATGACAGTAGAATAAGAGAGAAACAAGTCCCCTCAGTTTAATATAAAATATTTTCTATCACAAGCTTCAATATTTTGAATATTTATAAGCCAACTATCTGCTTTTCCATGATTGCAGAATCTCACTACTCCAAACATCACCGTATCTATTCTTGTGGTTTGTTGTTTTAAGATACAGCAAGCTTTCTTTTAGCAACCCTTCCAAACAAGCCACACTCGCTGTGATTATGTAGTCTACAGTTAGTCTAGTAGATCTTCACTGGATTAATGTGTCTGTGTCTTTCTGTCCTTTTTTACCCAAACTGCAGCTTTTTTCTTTTTTTTTTTGCTACTGGACTTACAAAATTATTTTATTTAGATCAGGTAACATTTCCGGATATCGATACGTTTTTAAATGGGATCTGAGATGTAAGCTTAGCATGAGAGCTGACGTTGTGCATAAACCCTGGTTTCACCACATTGGCAGCCATGCGCGGTGCTTCATTTCTTGGGCAAAAAAACTCAGTCTCTCCATTTTTTGACATCCATGTTTCTTCCCTTTGTGGCTGCTGATGGATTTGTTTTGGAACTGTCTTATAGTCAATGTCATCCAGGTCCCACAGCCCCAAACACCCTATAGTGTTGCTACTGCAGCAGCAGTACTGACCAGCGTGTCTGAATGTGTGTTTTCTGTGTTTTCACAGGCGCTTTGTGCACACAATGCCTCAAATTGCCATTGATTTGCCTTTCATCGAAACTGATGAAAATGCCTAAGACTCATCTTGGGGAGCTGCTGAATGGGGCAGTGAGGCAGAAGAAGAATCAGCAGAAAACAGATTTGGGACTGGTTTGGAGAATAATATGACCAAGACTAATTTGCAGGTCAAATCTGAAATTAGAATATTTGGTTTGACAAATTATAGAACAGAATGTAATAAAAGAAACTGGGAAAAAAGCATATGAAATGAAAAAAGAAGTAACGAAATGGGAGACTAATAATAGTAATAATAAAGCATTAATATGGTTAAAACTGTTGTCCTCTCCAAGTTCTTCTTCTAGCAGCTATTCTTTCTGCTGATAACAAATCTACAAAAAGCTTATATAGAAATTACTAAAGAGTAAAATGAAAGGTGGGTTAGGAGATGTTCAACTGGAATGTAGATTAAAGGACGGTTTTGTTATTTTGGTATCGAAAGCTTTTAAAATGGGAGATCCTCCCTCATCAAGACAGAAGCAAGGGCAGAGCAAGGTATGTACCATACATATTATAAAATGATCTTTTTTTGTAAATGAGGAATGATGCAGTCTATCTCTTTAGCCTCTCAATGATACTTGAAGCTGCACAGGAGTTAACCAAACCAGACCTATTTTTTTATTCTAATGAATGAACTCAGCTTGAATCAGTTATAAAAAACGCTTTCTTTTTCGTTGCCTACATTCTAGAGGGTGATGTTGCCTCAACACCTAAACAGGAAACGGAGTTCAGTTGGGTTAAAGTGAGAAATGGGAGGTGAGGAAACGAAAAATCAGCAGGGGAAAAAGAATCACAAGTCACTGTGATCTTTATAGTAGTTTTATAGCAGCATCTACTGTGTTACTGCTGCTCTGAGGTTTACTGCGCTTTGTGGATTTGCACAAATGAATTCAACAGGATGTAAGCAGATTTTCATGAATTGTCTTCGCTTCAATTTCCATCCCCTACATTTACAGTATACTGTTTATACTGTCTTTACACTAAATCCTATCAAGTTTGTATAAAGGTGGAATTCAGCAAATGCATCTAAGGATCATTAACATCTGCTGTTCTTTACATAACCTAAATCTGACCATGAACACTGTAGCTACTGTCCAACAAAGTGCTTTACTTTAAATCCATCAAACCTCTTTCATCCACCATTTAAATAACACAAAGTTAGCATAGCTCAGATTATATTTTTTTTGTTGCAGAATATGACCCCCCCCCCCATTATTTTACATCATAAACAGATTCAATATCTGATTTAACACATTTTCTTTAGACTTTCAGTTTATTAAGAAAATGTGTTAAATCACATTGGGCAGTCCTTTCTTTCTCCATCTCTGAGAGAAGTGAGCTTTCAACGTTACTCCCTTTAAGCTCGGTCTTCTTCTGCAGCGCCAGCTAGATGCTAAAGAATAGAGGCCACAACTTACAGACAACTGCACAATCGGGTGTTGAGCCAAAAAACAAAACCCAAAAGGAATCACCAGCTACACCATTAGGATTGCCTTATTGTTCAGGCTGAATCGGTTTGAAGGCCTGCATATACTGTATATATATATTTTTTTAAAGTCTGTCTCAGTGGGTCAACCACTGGATCCACCCAAAGGTGTGATATACTCCATAATGCCTCAGCAAACTGTGTTTAAAGTCCACTAAATAAACCACCTCTTTATTTAAAATGGCTCATCTGCAAAAAAGAAAAAAATAAGGCATGCAACACCATCAAATAATGACTCTGATCAAATGTGTTAAAACTAAAGTAACAAGCCTGTTTTTAAAATTTAAGGAGTAGAAAGTTTTGACATTTGTGTAAAAATCCTGGGAGTAGATGCTCAAGTGAAGCTTTTTATGTACAAGTCTTCCTATGATTTCTATCCAGGCATGCCACAGAATCTAAAAAAAATGTAAAAATCTTTATTGTGCTTTCATACATGGTCTAGCATTTGACACATTAATTCTTATGAACCTTTTTGCATGTTGATTTGCATGATGCAATCTACTATAAGGCTCTCTGCACAATCTTGAAACAAGTGTCCTTCACTGATCACAGAGCAGGCTGCTCTCAGGGCTCTTGGCGTCCACGTCTCCCCAGTAGGGCAGGATGAAGGGCAGGTCAGCCACACGGCTCTCCAGCAGCCTCCACAGATGCTGGGCCACAAACTGGTTTCCTTTCTCTGAGAGATGCAGCCCATCAGACAGGTAGACCGTGTAGTCCTGTACAAAAGATGATAAAATAAGACATCTGAGGCCAAAAGACCTGAAAACAGAAACACTGTATACAGGAATGCAAGATCATATCAGATTTTAAAAAAGGAAATCACAGTGAGTGCATAAAAAATTATATACATTATAATATTGATTGGCAATATTAAAATTAACCGTTTAATACCAGAAAATCTGACAAAATAATGAAATTATAATAAAAAAATGTTTGTTATTCATTTGAGAAAGCATTTGTTTTTTTATGTTATGGATCTCATTGGATTACTGCAGCACCTGAATGCCAAAAGCCTCAATATCAGCAACAAACAGCAGCTAGAAGTATTGATCCTCACCGGTCCATCTTTTTGCATGAGTGTCCAGAGATCCAGGACGTCTACACCACACTGACCAGCAGCTTCGACACACGCCTGTGCATACTGCCCCGCTACAGAGTTGTGGCGATTGAGAGGACATCCTGCAGGAGACGCAAAGGGATGCTCAGGATCTGCGTAGGACTGAGTGTGTAAAATGACAGGAATGAAGAAGGAGAAAAGCTCCTGTTACCTTTAAGAATGCACTCCTTCTCCCAAGATGGCTCATGCAAGGGGGGAGGTGTGATGAATATAACTCTGTCAGCAGTTACACCAGCAAAGGCCAGAAACCTGGTCATCTCCTTCAGGTTCTCAGAATACTCGTGCACAGGCACATGCTGCTGGCTCTTACCTGTAAACAAGGAGATGATAATATACAGACACATTTATTAATAAAAATATGTCATAAAAATTCATTTAAGGCTGTGGCACTTGCAATTGAGACATTATAATAAACATCCAGCAGTCTCTTGTCATCACAAAAAAAAAATGTTCCCAGCAGTCATTAATGTATAATAAGAACAGCGGAGAAATGAGGATTCATCCGTGAGGAGAGCCGGTGACTTTTTAAAAAAAATCCAGCAATAAATCCAGCTGTCCAAGCCAATATGGTCTGTGATGTCTTGACTACCAGTCATGACATTGTTGGAAACTCTCAAGATGCCAATAAACACCCACTGGCCACCAGAGATGGGCAATAACGCGTTACTGTAATCCGATTACTTTTTTCAAGTAACGAGTAAAGTAAGGGATTACTATTGCAAAAACAGTAATTAGATTACCGTTACTTTCCCGTAGGAACGCTGCGTTACTAAAACCGTGGTTTTTTTGCAAGAATGTGTCATGACAGTGACGTAAGCGAGTGCGACGTTCGTGGCAATCAGCTATGTGCAGATAATATATGGAGTGCAGGAGAGAGTATGAGCGTGCAGCGTTTAAAGCGCGGAAGTACTGACCTTACTTTGAGTTTGATTCTATAAAAAGTGACAAAAACATTAGTGTCCGTTGTGCGTGGGAAGAAAACTTCTTTTACAGCGAAAAAAACCATAAACTTCCAAGCAAGCACCGAGTGCACAACGACGTGATGGGAAATTCACAGACAAACTCGCAGATTCTTCCACTGACTGCTGCGGCACACCTGCACCACGGCAAACCTCCACCTGCTTTACAGGTGAAAATAGAGCAACAGGACCGCTGAGTCTTTGATTTTATTTATTTTCTGCTGTGTTTCACTTGCATTTATTTGAAAGACTGAGTGTAAACACAAAAAAATATTTTATTTTATGTGCTGGAATGTGCAGGAAATAGGTTTAAATGTTAAACAAATTTCTTCCAGTCAGAGAATATTGCATTTAATTTAATTTTGCTTGATGCATAAAGTTAAAACTAATAAAACAAGTTTTAAAAAGAGACTTTTCCATTTGATTACATTTTGAATGATGGATTATGTAGAAAAAGTAGAATTGGGCCGAAAGATCTATCGCTTTATTACCTGTTCAGGTTGTAAATCCTGTTTTTTAAAAGTAACTAAGTAACTAATTACTTTGAAAATAAGTAATCAGTAAAGTAATGGGATTACTTTTTTCAAAGTAATCAGTAATTAGGTACTGATTACTTTTTTCAAGTAACTTGACCAGCACTAGGTATACCTGTTTGTTAACACAAATATCTAATCGCCCGATCACAGCAGTTTAGCGCATATAGACACGTAGACATGGTGAAGATGACCTGCTGAAGTTCAAACTGAGCATTGAAATAGGAGAAAAAGTGATTTAAGTGGCATAGTTGTTGGTGATAGATGGGCTGCTCTCAGTTTTTCAACCTGCATACAACTACGTTGTCCAGACTAGCCTCTCTGAATGCGTGAACCTTGAAGCGGATGGGTTACAGCAACAGAAGACCACACCGGGTACAACTGCTGTCCGGTAAGAACAGGAAACTGAGGAAACTGCAGACTGAACGCCACAATGCCCAGATTGTCTCACACTGGCTTGTTGAACATGACAGTGAGTTCACTGAACTCATATGGCCTCCACAATCGGCAGATCTCAAACCGATAGAGGGCCTTTGGAATGTGGTGGAATATGAGATTCACATCATGGATGTGCAGCAGGTCTATGATGCTATCATGTCAACATAGCCAAAAATCTCTGAGAAATGTTTCCAGCACTTGAATCTATGCCATAAAGAAATAAGACAGGCCTAAAAGCTAAAGGTGGTCTAAAGTGGCACTAGCAATCCGTACCTAATAAAATGGCCTGTGAATGGAATCTCTGTCAGGCCGATTCTGGCCCTCCAGGCCTTATGTTTGACACCCCTGGTGTAGATCACTGCAAATGTGCAAGTATTTGTTAAATTATAACAAGAGTGAGCATGCTCCAGTGAAGCTGTACCTTCCAATGCGCTGTCATTGGCTCCGAAGAAAATGGTAACTGCTTCTATCTTGCTGTCTGCTGAATTTTCAGGGTTTATGAGGCGAGGAAGAACAATCTTGCCCCATCTGGAGTTATAGCCGGACAGTCCTCTGTTTATAACATCACATTTTCTAAAGGCAAAATAAAATCGCAGATACAGAGATCAGTCACATTAAGCAACTGCTGCATAACACAAGCACAATTTCTCTTAGAAGAAGTGTGTATTTTTACCTGTTTGGAAGTCAGAGCTATTATGAAGGGAATGCAATTTAAATGGAACTACACACCTTGCAAGTTTATCGGCAATTTCTGCTCCCCACCCATTGGGTTGAAATGAAACCTGAAAAAATCAACAGCACCGATTAATTATTTCCACACTAACAGTCAAAGTGGACAGTGATTGAGCAGACAAATAGTAAAATAGATTAAAGTGTAAACACTATCTAACCTGTGTGATGGAGTCCCCAAATAAAATAACTTTAGGCCAAATGATTGACGTGAACTTGGACATGGTGAAGCCAAGCCGGTTCCTAAAGAAAGGAAAGAGAAACGTCAGATTTTATAGGTAAAGCTTGCACATCAAATGCATTGTTTACACTGTAAACTCAGTTTCCGAGACGCGTTAAAAGTGTTTGCACAACAACTCATTAGAATTTATATTTTCAATCCACAAATTACCCAGTAGCCTTGGAAGAAGAAGGAAGGAATAAATAAGGAAATGTCTTCCGCACTTTTTAATGCTGATGGGGCTTTTATTTTGAAGGTTCCCGGAGTACGTTTTCCCCTTCCGCCTTGTTGTGTCACATCAAAAATCTTCCGTGCGAGCTGCAGAGTCTTGTGTGGATTCTTCAAAGGTCCAGCTAATAAATGAAGGTTAGCTCCCGCTATTATCAAGATTTTCAAATAGCAAAAAACAGATAGTTTAAATTTATACTCCTTGGTACTGTTTTGGACAAATTTAGCTCCAGATAAAAAGGAACTGTGATGGAATTCAAGCTAGCGTCAGCTGTACGTTACATTCATCCGCGGTAAACTTAACTACACGTGAAAAATGGATGAACCCCCCGTCTCCTTTCATATAATCACTATTTATTAATGTCTAAACGCTTAATTGAAGATAGTGTATTTTTATCCTTTAATGCCCTCTTATATGGGCTTAGTTAGCACTACGGGCATGACACTGTCAAATTCCACTGACTATGATCTCCAACCACAGATTGTATTTGTAGTTTCCAACCTGACGAACCTGAGTCTCAGATAAACACAGCAATGAAACAGCCTGACACAACAGATGCGTCTATTAATAAGACTTGTGTTAGGATTAGGTGTTGGAAGGTGATGGGCTGGGATAAAGTCAGGGTTTTCCCTGCATATTAAAAATGGTATTATTAACAATATCATTAAACATTTTTTTTTACGTGAAGTTTACTCAAACTTAAATATATTTTTGTTTATAAAATTCCCTAAAGTAAGTAGGAAATTGAAAGACTGTTGTAATATAAGATAACATAGGCTTTGCGTAACAACATGCAGACCAGCTGTGGCTACAAAGGCTTGTTTTGCTGTTAAAATATTCCCAAGATGCCTATGTTTAATGTCCTCTTTGTGTCCTTAACAGCAATGTTGCGGCGTCCCAAGCCAACTGACTCAGAGGCAGACCTCCTGAGAGAGCAGGAGCACTTTCTCACTTCAGGCGCTCCCTCCGCCGCCAGTGTTGTCCGCCGCCCTGACAAGAGGAGAGGAGAAGCTGGAGAGGGAGAAGGGCGGAGTGGGGAGAATGAAGGGAGCCAGAGGGATGTGGTCACCATTGAAGGTTACAGATGACACAGATTTTTCACAAGAGCATATTGTGTTTTAAAACTTGTCTGATTTTAACTTTTTGGGGTCTCTTGTGTAAGTAGCTAAAGCTCAGCTGTTCTCTTAAATGCAGATCTTCCAGATCAGCTCCCTTCTCTGACACCAGCCCCTCCTAAGAAGTCTCGCTTTAAAGCGAGTCGTGTCACCTTTGAGGATGAGGATGCCGAGGAAAGGCTGGACAGACACGACACTCACATCAGTGCCGTTCTCTCCAGAATTGTTGTAAGTGGAAGCTTCTTGTCTGTTCTCAGTTAGACTTGTTTAATGTCTTGTTTGGTGTATCCATAGTTTGGGATTCTTTTAGTTATTTATTTTACGTATGTGTATTTTTTTTTGTGTCAAGGAGAGAGATACCAGCTCCACTCCAATATCTCTACCAGCATTTACAGGTATGGCTTTCCCCAAAGTGCTGCACCGCTCAGAAACCAGCAATCAGGTAAAGGTCAATAATATCATCTCTTCTTTAAATTTTAAAATTTCTTATCAGCCACTATAGATTCATAATCAGTTATTATATTTATTGCAGTAAGTCACCCCCTCTTCGTACGATGGCATGCTATTTTTGCATTCATTTGGTGTCGTGTGAAATAATCCTGTTTTTTTTGTTCCCTCCCTGCAGGCACCTCTGTCATCAGCTGGAGGAAAGAAGAGCATCTTTGCTCGTCAGATTGCTGCCCAGAAACTAAAAGAGTGCAAGACAACATTACATAGTTTATCTGAAGCTGCTCCAACCCCAGAAACTACTATGGATACAGATCAGTGTGATGCTGCAGGTGGGGTTAACCATTAATATCACAAATGCAACACAGGTCTCAGTTTATTTGTGTGTTTTCGAAGAATTTAGGAATTACATATTTTCAGCAGTAGTAACACTTTCTGAAAAATATTTTTCCTCCCTTCTATACCATCCTCTTCGTCTCTCTGTTCAGTAGAACCAGCAGCAGTCTCCGGTCCCAGGTTGGTGTCCGGGCAGGGGCTTCAGGGTCCCGATAGCTCAGGAGAGACCATGAGGATCCACATGGAAAACCAGGCCAAGCTCCAAGCCATGTCCCAGTCTGAGATACTCGAGGAGCAGAAGAAGCTCTTGTTTCAGCTCGGTAGGCATTGATGTTGTCGGCAGGATCTTTTCTTTATAATGCACGTTATAATTAAGATGTGATGGGGTGGATTTTCTATCCATTTAGATGTACTAGTCACGTACATCACACTTTTTTTTATCACCATTTCTGTACAGCATGTAATGCAGTTATTTTTGCTTCTCAGATCCTAGACTGGTGGACTTTGTTAGATCTCGCAAAGCACAGAGCGTCCCATCCTTTCCCTCCCCATCCAAACACCCCAAGGACAAAAGTGGCACAGAAGATCCTCCAGTTCAGGATGTGAGCAGAGAGTCAGGCTCCTGCAGTGCTGCAGTGTTGTGTCAGAAACCCCAAGAGGTGAAGATGGAAGGAGAGGAGGAGGAGCTGTCAGCGCCACCACCTGCTGTGACGGGTATGATTTATTCAAATTCAACACCAGTTTCTGCTCTCTGCTGCTGGTGATTAAGATGAAAGTTAGATTCTAATATATGTGGATGATGTTGTTATTAAGTGTGCCTATGCAATAGCACACTTTCACATTGTTCCTGTGCCTGCTTTCCTGGTAAGATTGAATCCTCATTTCTGGGATCTTAAATTTGCTTAAGGAGACCAATTTTATCCACTTTTTAAAGAGACGATGACACTTAGCTGTTAACCAGCATTCCCTCACTTCCCGGTCAAATATCTTCTTCTCATTTCTGCACGCTTTTCCGCTCTCGTACTTGTCCATCCTCTCACTGTGTAACTTAATGTCAGATGTAGTTGCTGCATGGCTAAAACTGATTCATATCTCCATTTGGAGTGATAGAAGCCTCTCTTTGAAGTTTTATTTCAGAAAATGCAAAAATCAACTTCACCCCTTAATTTGTTGCTTATACATCACACGAACCCCCCAAAAAGTTAGAACTTCATTATGTTATTCTGTCCCGCTTGCATTGGCTACAATTAATAGCCAGATTGTTTAAGCTTCTAGTCACGTTTAATGAGTGCTGAGGTTTTTGCAGCAGATGCAGCTTCTAAAATTGTTTGGAGAAGTTGTTTTTGGCTAACTAATTGTCATTTTCATTTACAATGCAACGCTGTTTTTACCACAATGGATGCGTCTGTGAATACAGAGGAGGATCTGCCAGTGAAGCCTCAGAAGGAATGGGTCCACATGGATAAGCTGGAGCCGGAGAAGTTGGAGTGGTTGAGAGACTTGCCTGAACCCAGAAGGAAAGGAACCAAGAAAGTAAGATCTGGTATTTGACTTGCAAGTAATGAAAGATCTAGTTAAAATTCTGTATTTTATTCAACACTTTCCGTTGTTTTTGTGTGTCCTGATAGGCCATGCAGGCTCGTTTTGACTTCGCGGGGACTTTAATTCCGCCCACTGAGGATCTGCCAACGCACCTGGGCCTCCACCACCATGGAGAGGAGCCTGAGGTCAGTCAGCACAAAGTCACAACAAAAAGACAACTTTACCTCCTTAAAATTGGAGTGATGCTTTTATAAAATGACAACAATGTCAAGTTCCAGTTGACTCCTTGGTAGAACACAGTAGAACCTACTGGATTGTGCGTGTAGATTAAATATCACAACCTGTGGCTTAATTTTAAGTTTATGTCATGTTTTTTTACTGAAGTACAAAAACAAGACTGCAGAGGATTTAAATAAGATTGAGGTTTGTAGTGAAACACACTTTGAGAGCTCAGTAAGAGTAGAAAAGCACTAATAAGTACATATCCATTCACCATTTATCTGTAAGTTTTCTCTGTTATTATTCAGTCTGATTGATCCCATCAGACTCAATTTCTTTCTCATTCATTTAAATTCAGTTCTTCTCATATCTGCACCTGTAAAAATGTATAAACTCTTATCATGAGATCTCATCTTGACATTTGTCCCCAGCGGGCAGGTTATTCCCTGCAGGAACTCTTCCTGCTGTCTCGGAGTCAGGTCATCCAGCAGAGGACGCTGTCACTCAGCACTCTGGCGAACATCCTCTCAAAGGTACCAGAACCTAGACGCATGAAGTTCCACTCTTAGCTTTAAGAAGCGTGCCTCTGTCATGTTGCTGGATTTTTTTCTTCTTCTTCTTTTTTTTTTTTGCAGGCGTGTGCTGGGGAATACGTGCCAGTTCTGAAAGGCAGCGTGACGTCTACTCTGCTCGACGCCGGCCTGCTGTTTCTGCTCCGCTTTGCATTGGACGATAGCGTGGAGGGAGTGATGTCTGCAGCTGTGCACGCTCTTAAAGCACTGCTTGTGTGTGCAGAAGATGAAGTAAGATTATAAAGCATAAAGCCAAATATTGCAATAGTAATATAATAAAAATAATAATAATAATAATTGTTTAACCTGCACTAATTTACTCTTTGTAATTTTCTATATTCACTATTTGAAAAAAGCAAATAAATAAATACAAATATCACAGAAATTTGTCCTCATACTGAGGACTAATATAAAGAAAGAACTGTATCATGTAAAACTCAAAGCTTTATTTCGATGATTTGTGCATAAACAGCACAGCATTGACTCATTATCGGATAATATCTTTTAAAACACATCAGCTGAATAGAATAGAATACACTGTTTCTTTACTGTAAATGAGTACAAGTGTCTGAAACCCCAGTCAAGTTCCTCTTACAAATGAGTTCCCTCACTCAGGAGTGTCTGGACTGCACTTTTTCCTGGTTTCGCGGTCTGTCTTCCTTCCCCCTGCTGCCATCTGCTCAGGAGGAAGAAGATGAGGAGGATGAAGGGCTGGATGAAAGTATGAAGGAGACGGCGAAGGAGAAAGAAG